TGGCTCAGTGTCACATCAACGGCATTGGTCTTTGACCTAGAGCCCCAGCTCTCAGCTGTCCTTTAAATGTACACAGAACAGGATATACCTTGGAGGACTTGCCCTGTCCTCTTTTTAAATGTGCTGGATTTTCCAAATCTTCAAGGAGTGCATCTTGTTTTTAGACACAAGGAAGAACATTGTAAAGAAGAGTGGCCCTCAGTAGCACAGCAGGGTGACCTGGAACAGGGAGGTGTCTGAGCCAGGAGGGGAGGGGAGCCAGCGCTGGGCTTGCTGGGCCTCCAGGCTAGCCATCACTGCAGTGCAGACGGTGGCCCAGCACCTGCTGCCCCTATGACTGCTCCGTCCCATGCTTTGACTACAATTCTTTTTGTTGTCACAAAGACCCATTTCCCAAAAAACCCAATCAGCCCATCTAGTAGTCTGCTCATTAAAAGGCTGAAAACCCCAGACAGCCATTTCTCCTCCCACTCCCAGAGCCTGTGTGTGTGTGTGTGTGTGTGTGTGTGTGTGCGTGTGTGTGATACCAACCTAAATCCATAAACTAGGGACCAGGGGATTAAGCTGCTGTGTGTAGTGCCAGCAGTCCATATGGAGGCACTGGTTCAGGATCCAGTGGCTCCACCCCAAACCAGCTCCCTGCTAACATGCCTGGGAGAACAGCAGAAGGTAGTACAAGAAGCCAGGAGCCCGCATCCCCACATAGGTGTCAGGGGCTCAAGTTCTTGTGCTACCTGGCTGCTGCAGTCACTGGGGAGTGAACCAGCAAATGGAAGATCTCTCTCTTTTTCTGTCAGTGCCTTTAAAATAAATAGATGATGCCGTCACCTAAAAATGGAAGAAGTGGAATATAAGGATGTTTGCTACAATTCAGTTTCTATTGTTTCCTATAAGAGACTAGGGTCACTAAGTTATGGCTCATCCATACAGTATTCTTATGTGAGGCGGTGCCATGGCATAGTAGGCTAGGCTTCCACTTGTGGTGCCACCATCCCATATGGGTATCCGTTCAACTCCCAGCTGCTTCACTTTCTTACCCAGCTCCCTGCTTATGGCATAGGAAGGCAGTGAAGGATGATTTAAGTCCTTGGGACTCTGAAGCCATGCAGGAGACCTGGAAAGAGCTCCCAGCTCCTGGTTTCAGTCTAGGCTCAGTTCTTGTGACCACTTGGAGAGTGACCAGTGGATGGAAGATCTCTGTCTGGACTCACTGATCTGAAATGTATGGAGGAAGCTCACAGGAGCAGGCTAGGGATTGGTGCAGTAGCCAGGTGGCTAAATCCTTGCCTTACATGACCCGGCATCTCATATGGGTGCTGGTTCTAATCCCGGCAGCTCCATTTCCCATCCAGCTCCCTGCTTGTGGCCTGGAAAAACAGTTGAGGACGACCCCAAACCTGGGACCCTGCACCTGGATGAGAAACCTAGAAGAAGCTCCTGACTCCTGGCTTTGGATCAGCTTAGCTCTGGCCATTGCTGTCACTTGCGGAGTGAACCAGCAGATGAAAGATCTTTCTTTCTGTCTCTCTTCATCTCTGTAAATCTGCCTTTTCAATAAAAATAATAAATCAAACATTTTAAATAAATAAAAACAAAAGGAACAGGCTAGTGACCCTTAGGGGACAGGGAGACCCCTAGGGGAACCAGCACCATGAAGCTTCATGACTTGACTGGTTGGGGAACAAAGCAAGCCCCCTACCACCACCGTCCCCAGTCAGGCTAGCAAGGTAGGTGCAGAGGGACCCAAGGACTGAGAGGGAAGAAAACTGCCCACTCTTGGCATGGACCTGACCCCCATCTCTCTGCAGACTCAGTCACCACTGCTCAGAGCTTCCGACCTGTGTCAAGCCAGTGAGCCTGTAAGACCATTAAGGTCATGACTGTGCAAGCACAACTCGTGGTAGTGCGGCGGGGGAGGGGGAGGCTGAGGCAGAGGGGTGTGATGCTGAGCTAGATGGAAGTTCAGGGTGGGGGGCCTAGGGAGACCACTTGGGTCTCTGTAGCTGGAAGTTCTCACTCCTACCCCCCAGCTGCCAGCCAGCCCTGCGGCAGATTCAGAAAAGACTGCCAACAGAAGTCTAGGTGAACAGCAGGCTGTGTTGCCAAGGTTCCCTTGCTTTGCCAGTAGCAGGAGTGTCACTATTGAGCGTAATTAAATCAGTGATGCTTCAGACCATCCTGCAGGAGTCTCTGACTGACAACGTCAAGCACCACTGTGGAGCACTGGGGTCTTGGCAAGGCTGGGGTGCTCACTCCAGCCCTCTGCTGGCCCCTGCCCCAGTCCCTGGTGGACTCGCCACCTCTAAGACTTCACCCTCTTCCTCTAATCCACCCACTGAATGCTAAGCTGGAAAGACAGAAGCAGAGCGGGTGAGGATGCAATTATTTTAATTCAGCCAGATGCTGGGATTTAGTTCCTTTTCTTTGCAAGTATTCTGGGGAAAGGCAGAACTCAGCCGAAGATGCGCCAAAAGAAAAGGAGCTGACGAGCTGACAGGAGGGAAGGAACGGCAGATCTCAAGGACCCAGCGTCACCCCCGGGGGGAGCGGGAGTATGCGAAGGAAGAGAGGGAGGGCCTCCCTGCAGGCACTGAACCAAGACTGCTCACCAGCCCTGGCAGGCGCACCCAAGGCAGCCAACTGTATGAGGAACTTCCAAAGCAGGTTCACTCATTTTTATTTATCTATTTAATGATCAACCTGGCAGGCAGTCACCAGCTGGGGCAGCGGATCTGAATGGAGGCTTCAAGGAGGGTGAACCAGCAGATGAGAGAGGTGAACCTGCACCTCATGCCTCGCTGTGTCTCAGACACATACAAATTTTAAGAAGCAGTAGATACAATTTAAAAAAAAAGACATTAGCTATAGATCCAGGCTGTCTGACCATACTATACCAGGGACTACATCATACTGCATTATATATTATAATACCACAGATAAATGAACCAAGACATACAAACCACACAAAACAGTGTATAATAGCTGCTTAAGCAATGCTAGCTAACACCCACTACAGTCTGTAGTTCTCAAGGTACAGACCAGGAAGCCTTGGCAGTGGGGAGGTTGTTCCTTGAAGCCAAAAGCATTTTCCTAATAGTAGGGATCTTCAAAAAGTTCATGTAGGGGCCCTGCAACGTGAACTTCAAAAAGTTCACACAGGGAATTAAACCATCATTTGGGAGGCCCAAGCCCCATTCAAGAGTTTTTGCTTCTAGCACCAGCTATTCTATTTCTAGCTCCCTACTCATGTGCCTGGAAGGCAGCAGACAAGGGCCCAAGTATTTGGGACCTGGTTACCCATGGGGGGACCCAAGGGTTTGGTGCAGCCCAGCCCTGGCAGGTGTGGTCATCTGGAAAGCACACCAGCAGATGGAAGATGCATGTGTGTGTGTGTTTTGCTCTGCCTTTCACAGAAATGAAAAGAAGCTTCGTTAAAAGTTAGTGTAAAAAAGGGTACCGATGCAGGGCCGGCGCCATGGCCTAGTGGCTAAAGTCCTCACCTTGAACGTGCCGGGATCCCATATGGGCGCCGGTTCTAATCCCAGCAGCTCCACTTCCCATCCAGCTTCCTGCTTGTGGCCTGAGAAAGCAGTCAAGGATGGCCCAAAGCCTTGGAACCCTGCACCCAAGTGGGAGACCTGGAGGAAGTTCCTGGCTCCTGGCTTTGGATCGGCACAGCACCGGCCATTGCTCTCACTTGGGGAGTGAATCATTGGACGGAAGATCTTCCTCTCTTTCTCTCCTCCTCTCTGTATATCTGCCTTTCTAATAAAAATAAAATAACTTTTTAAAAAAAGGGTACTAATGTAAAAGCTATATGTAGGCTTCAAATTCTTTGCACCAAAATAAGCTCCTCTTTCAATTACATTTTTCCATGGACTGTCAAGCCAGAGTGTGGCAGAGGTCACTGCCAAGCGTGCCATCAGGGGTGGCAGACACGGTCCATGCCATTGTCGGGTCACCAGCCCATTGTCTGCCATTGTCAGAACACCAGACGCCAGGGAGACCTACAGGAAGGTAGAGCGAGGCTCCTCCTCCCACTACATGGCTTCTACTGCAGAAAGCAGTTATTTTTCCAAGAAATGTATTGTAAGCCCATAATGCCCATAATAGCTTCAACTACTGTCACTTTCAAATGAACTAACATACACATTTCTGTAATTTTGCCTTATGTCCTAGTACAGAAAATAGTGATAACTCCACTTACTGTTTGTAAGGTCCCTGCTTGTCCGTTCTACCCTCCCTGCCTCGATCCCTGCTTCATTCTCTCCCCACCAGTAGCTCCCAATGAACCTAAGAGGTGTTCAAGTCCAGGTCTCAGAATCCAGTTGGCCTGAGTTCAAACCACAGCAGCGCTGCCTACTGCCCTGGAACAGGGCAGCCTCTCCGTTGCCATCCATGCACCGGGAACATCATTTCAGGACGAGTGTCAGGAATGGTGATAACTCAGGTACAATGCCCATCCCCCAACAGACAACCACCATGGCCCTCATGACACCTCATGTTATGACCACACGGGCGGCCCTGAGTCCCTCCTGGGTAGCTCAGCAAAGCAAAGGCCACCTGGGGTTACAGACGCTGGCCTCCCAATGTGTGAACACACACACCCATGCATGCATGGGTACACACATACATACACACAAACATGCACACACATGGCTGGGTGTACCCACACTCAGCTCCCTTCCTGCCTCTGCCACAGCCCAGAGAGAAAAGTGAAAAATGACAGCTAAATGTCAAGTGCTCAGGCTCCCTCCCATACTGAGAAGACTCCCCGAATGCCAAGGCAGTCTTGGCTGGAGGCCGTGTGATGGAGCGTGGATACTGCTGACCGTGGGTGCTGGGCCCGTGTTTCCCACCCCCTCACCCCACCCAGGCCTCAGTCTGTTCAGCTGTGAGAGAGAGGAGGTGGCACTGGGAGACTGGCTGGCCCAGGTTTGCTGCAGGCACACACAAGGGCCTGGACCAGGGCTGCCGGCCCAGGGTCCTCTGCCACTCACCCGACAGTTGCTGAGCTCCTCTGCAGACAGGACGATGGTGCCACATTTCTTTCCCGGGACACCACTGGGAGAGAAGACGACAGAATGCAAAGCCAGGCGAGACAGAGACACCCCTGGCTGCTCCCCAAACCACCTTCCCCGCCCTGCCCCCACATCAGCGGACCTGCCTGGAAGCCCCTACAAAGACAGAGGCCTCTGCGACCCTGGAGGGGAGGAGGTGTTGCTTGCTGGGGCCCTGCCCTGTGAGGGGCCTCTAGGGAGGGCAGCATCTACTACCGAGGACCTTGAATCACAGCGCGTCCAGACTCACCCGGAGGCTTCCGGACCCGGGGTTCTCAAACTTTCCATCCAAAGACCACTTCTGTGGGCAAAAGACCTCGTGGGCTGGCTACCCGACCTTGCACCCGGTTAAGCCCGAGCCCAGGGGTGGCCCCGCTCAGGGCCTCTCTGGTTAGCCATGGCAGGGAGAGCAGCATGAGGGGCAGACAGAAGGTGGCCTGCTCCAGGGGGGTCCTGGGACACCTGCCCATGCTTTCGTCCATGACTAGCACTTCTCAAACTCCTTGGCTGGGGTATCCCGAGGGATGAGAGATCCCAGCCAGCCACACTGCTCCTCAATGATGGAGACAATTGGGATGAGGCCTGCGAGGTTGCTCCACCACACCAAAAAAAAAAAAACTCCTTCCGGAGGGCAGGTATCCAGACAGAGGCCCTACCCAGGGCACCTGAACCACCTCTTCTCCAGTCAGACCAGGTACCTTCCCCCAGAGCCTCAGCCAATCCCATGCTAACGTCTGGGACCAGGCCAGAGGGAACCCCAGAGCAGCAGGAGCAATGCCAGGGCATTAAGCAGCTGTGTGTCCTTGGGCTCCTTACTGTACTTCTCTGAGCCTCCATCCCCCTGTCCAGGGAGCCCTCCCAGGCCCTAACCTGCTCCTCAAGCTGCTGAGCCAGGATCTGTTTGACCAAGGAGACAGGCTCCTCAATGCCAGCTTCCTCCGCCGACTTCGCCATCTGTTCCTCTCCTGCCTCAGAGTCCTTCTTCTATTTCCGATCTCTCTTTGCCTCCTCCCCAGCCCCAGCCTGCTCTCCCACCACCCTGAACCTGGCCTCCCCGCTGTTGCCTCCACTTTGTTCTCCTATGCCTGCTTAGCCACTCTCATTGTCATTTTGCATAGATGCCCTCACCTTGGGCTGCTCCCAGCCCTGGAGGTTAATCCAGCCAGCAGCCAGGACTCCAACCCGGGGGGTTAGGGGATGGGGAATCAGAGAAGGCCAGAGGAGTGCTGCTTACCCAGCCAGCGCCCTTCTGCAGAGGCCCCTCCAGGCTGGTCCCACAAACAAAGCCTGCTCCCTGCCATGCCCTCAGCTGGCGTGGGGAGACTCTATGTCACCCCTCTCATACTCCCATTTGCAGGAGGCCAATCAAAGCAGAGGGGTAGGGTGGGGCGGACTGATGAGCCCGTAGGAGAGGCAGGTGCAACAGGATCCACTCAGCTGAGCTGGGCACTGACGTCCAGTGACAAAAGCAGGAATTGAGGGGAAGGGAGTAAGAACCAAACAGCAGGGCGATAATGAGGGGTGGAGAGGACCCGGACCAGAGAGAGATGACAGGAACGGAGGACAAAGGCCCTGCTGATGCCTAGAAAAGTCCTTCCCTCCAGCGCCACATGCCATGGGGGTTCAAGCATCAGGCTGGATACAGGGAGGGGCAGCCTGCATAGTGAGGGGCTCCATCCAGGGTCCAGAGCATTCAGGTTCCTGCAGAGAGACTCAGGACCCTCCTTGACCCCAGGCCCAGACTCTGCAGAGCCGGCTCAGTGTCCGAGGGCTCCAGGTTCAGCACTGTTTGACGACTTACCCGTTGGACACAGCTGGCATGGGTTTGCCTGTCCTGGAATTCAAGCTGAATGCTCCTATCCTATAGGGAGAGCAAGAGAGAGCATGCTGTGAGCCATCTGCCCCGTCCAGAGAGAACACCGGGCACCTGCTTCTGCCATTCAGGATCCTGAAGTAGGACCAAAAGCCCTGGGTTAGCCACTCCCTCCCAAAGGGGTCTTCAGAGTGGGGTCCATGGACCAGCTCCCCCTGGGAATGTAGGAGCATTGGGGACTCCCAGGTCCCACCCTGGCAAGCAAGGCCTCTGGCTGCAGCAGCTGTACTCACAGCCCCAGCTGACAGCCCTCCTTGGCTGCAGCTCCCATGTCACTGAGAATTACCGAGTCTACTGTGGGCTGGTTCAAGTCCCCCAACACTGCTTGGCCGAGGTCCTCATTCCAACTTGAGAGTAGAACTGTACCCAGAGATGGGGCGCACTACACACAGGACCCTACAGGTGGACCCTAACCCAATCTGAGCAGTGTCCCCCTAAGAGATCAGAATACACACACACACACACACACACACACACACACACACACACGGGGGAACCATGTGAGGACACAGGGAGGGGACATAGACAAGAGCCTGAGAGACAGACTATAAACACACATGTGCACACATGCACACACACATATACAGGTATGTATATATATATGCCCATAACGCACGTACATGCAGACACAGAAATACAATATACACATGTACCTCACACACACAGAGACACACACTTTGATTACAAGGAACGGACGACATCCAGCAAGCATGTAGCAGCAGCAGGCATGGGGCCATGCCTAGTCCAGCCTGACCCCCTTTCTTGCTGCTCTGCCCTGGTCTAGTCAGTGTGTCTGGTGGGGGTGTTGCTTGCCTGGGGCCAGCTCCTGGGGCTTCCTGAGTATAAGAGTAATCACCCCCACCACCCAACCAGCCCTGGCAGGGCCCTGGAGCAGCGCTGGGTGCAGACGCTGGGCCACCTGCTTCCTGGCTGGCTGGCCCCAGGTAAATCACTTGCCCTCTTAGGACTTCACTATCATGTGTAGTAGAAACAACTTGACTGCAACTCAGGCCTCCCTGGGAGATAGGGTTCTAAGCACACAGGGCCTTGGGTCAGCAGTTTTAGATGGGCAGGGGCGAGGCATGGGCTGTCCTTCCTCCCCCTGCACAGATGCCCACAGGGGCCAGACCAGCTGACTTCTCTGTTCCCAGCCTGAGTCAGCTCTCAGCAGGGTGAGCAAGAGCTTGCCCACCACTGTGGAAGCTGCCGCACTTACATGAGGGGCTTCTCCAGGCGGCTTCCGGGAGACCCCACAATCTCTCCGAGGGTGCAGAAGGCTTGGCCCAGGAAATCCTGATATAGGGCACAAGAAGACCAGGGTCACCTTTCCTCCCGGCTCATGGTCATCCAAGCCCCCAGCCCCAGTCTCAGGCAGCCTGAGGACATCAGGATGAAGCACCGTCTCCGTGAGGCCCAACACCCACCCAGGACATGGCACTGCAACAACCGCCCTTGCATCGGCAAGCAGTGCCTGGTAGGACTCACGTGTTTGGACAAATCCGGGCTCTTGGAGTCGACATCATACCTATAGGGGACCCAGAGCAGCAGTGAGGGTAGCTGGGGGCACTCTGGCCAGCCCTGCCCAGCTCTCTACATACCCCCCCACCCTCAACAGGCTCCAACTCCCTGGAGGCTTCTAGCACAACAGCCCAAGGGCACAACACCAGCCTCTGTGCCAGACACGTTCTGTCTTGAGCCATTACACAAGTAGTGCCACATGGTGTAGCCAGCCAGCCAAGTGGACCCCAGGTGGACCCTAGGTGGGGAGGTGTTGTACCCCTCACTGTATATGTGTTACACATTGCTCAAAATGGACAGATAGAATTTGTGGGTTCACAGCAGGCTGTGCCTCACCTCACTCTCCACTCCCCGTTTCTCATCTTCCTGAGCAAAGTTGGCCTGCCTACCAGGGCTGGGAGCCTTGCCTCTGACCGGCCTGTCCTGCTTCCTCCGGGCCTGCCCAGGCTGCTCCAGAGCCTGGTCGCCCAGGAAGGAGGGAGGTGCACAGGCAGGCCGAGGCTGCAACTGGGCCCTTCAGGCCTTCCCTCCTAGCCCGGCTGGAGTGCCTTCCCCCTGCAAAGGGTTCCCAGGCCACCTTTCTGCCACAGCCCTGTCTCTGCTCCTCCTGCCACTCCTTTCCAAGTCATTTCCTCTCATTTCCTCTCTGGCCCAAGCCTCCTTCTTTCCTATGCAGCCCACTTTCTCTGGAACTCAGACCACTCCCACCAACCCACAGCCACTACACACATCACAGCTTCCCTGCCTGTTTGCCCAGCCAAGATCCTACTCTGACCTGACCTTGACCATCAGGGGAGAGGCCTCCTTGGCCAGGTTACTTATGCATAAGGAGGCACCAGCAGGCACCTCAGGGACCCCATGCTCCGATGGGAGGCCAGAGGTGACCTGTGAGGACCTCTCAGTTACCAGGGAGAAAAGGGATCCTGGTTGGACAGCCTAGACTCATCCCAGTGGACACTGCCCACAAGACGACCCCCCACCGACTCTGCAGACAGAGGTGGGTGCCCACTATCCCTTCTCCTGGTCAGGTCAGGGGAGGAACTGGCTAGGCCAACCCAGGTTTCTCTTTCTTCACTGCCTCTGCCCCACCGCCAGTCCGGCCATCTCTCACTTACAGGTCAAAGCGGAGGTTCTGCTTCTCCTCGAAGAAGTAGTCCACGATGAACTTGCGCACAAAGTCGGGGTTGAGTGTGTTGTCGATGACTTCCGTGCGGCCGAACTGTAGGGATGTATGGAAAGTGGGGGCCCAGCCAGGTGGCAGGGGCGAATGCCCAGGCTCAGAGGCCTCTGCATCCTGTTTGGCTGGGGCAGCTATGGAAGCCCAGCTCCAACACACATGTGTGCTTTATTCTCCCACCTGAGCAGGTGGCTTTGGTGCCCTTATTTCCTACCCCATTGCCTTTGTGAAACTGTGCCCTGCACCTGTCCTCCCCTTCCCTGCCTATTGTGGAGGCTGCCTTCTCCAGGAGGCCTTCCTGATTTTTCCAACTAGAGACTGTTGCTTCTCTGAGCCTCCACTGAACTTGTGCCCATACTAAGACGAGCACTTTTCTCAGACTTGCTTGATACTCCAACTGTCAACACGAGGGTAGAGACAGGCCTTATGGGAGGAGCCCCTAACCTGGAGTTCATGCTCCTGTGTAATACCTTACTTACCACAGCAGGTAGGACCTGGACACTGCTAATGAACAACCCTGAGTTGTCGCCTGCCAGCTTAGATCATCAACAGCCATGACTTCCATCTCAAGGCCTCTTTCTGCTCCACCCTACTTGTTTGTTTTAAGGCTGGCTGCCAGGTCACTGGCTTGCTTCCAGGGAAGGAGAGCAAGAAATTGAGGGAGACTCAGGCCAGCAGCCATCGAGGACTATGGCTGTCAGTCGCCTACCCACAAGAACCTGGATCCCGCCAACAGCATTGAGCCAGGAACCGAATCTCGGCCTCTGAAACTTGTGGTGGCTGTGACTTCACCCAGACCCTTCCCTGCCCTGCAGCCACAGGGCAGCTCTCGAGCCAGGGTATCCCCACAAGTCGCCCCCAGGTTCCGGCCCCTGCAGTGTAAGCCATGTCTTCCCAGGTAATTTGTCACTCAGAAGTAGGTAACAATGCAGAGAAGAAACTTCTTTGGCTTCCCCAGCAGCAGATGCTCTGGAATTTGGGGGCACAACAGGGTCTTGATAGTTGAATGCCATTAAGCTCCCCTAGATGACTTCAGGTAAGTCATCAAAGAATTATCAGAAGGACACTCCACAGGCCTCAGCCCCTCACACACACACACACACACACACACACACACACACACGCATGCACACACACACAGCTGTGATGACTGCTTGTACCCATGGCTAATATTGATCTGAGTCTCTTTCTGCCTTCCCAGATCCCAAGCTGTTCAAACAGCAGGCTCCAGACCTGCTTCATTTTCCAAGCCCAGGACCTGACACATCTAATACTGGGTCCAAGGTTCACAGCTGGGGATGACAGCAGCTCACAGCACACCCCATGCTCTGGGAGCAGCTTTCAACACGTGGGCTCGTTACTTCTGAGCAGTGCTTTTGTGGTAGGTTTCCCCACGTTATAGATGAGCAAATGGTGGCACAGAAAGCCAAGCAACTTTTTCAGGGTTGCAGTTAACAGCTGCCGACTTCTGGCGTGTGCCCATGGAGCCATGTGGCACCGCACATTAGGGCAAGTCTGCCAACCACTTCTGTTCACTGCCGCCAGTGGCTGCCACAAGGCAGGTCCTCAGGAAGTGCTGAATGGGCTGGCTGCATGAGGACATGGGAGAATGGGACTGTGCCAGCTTCCTCCCAGACTCACGGAGCCACATTCCCCAACAGAACATTATCCTCCGTACTTCTCAGAGTTAGCAGCCATTCAATGCAATCATCGAGTTAGCAGGCTTGAAGCACTTATGGAAGGGTGAGCTACAAAATGAAAACGGGGAAAGAGGTTGGTGCTGTGCACAGTAGGCTGTCACTGGCAAGGCCGGCATCTCAGATCGAGCTGTCCTAGTCTCTGAAGCTGCACCTCCAACCCAGCTTCTTGGTAGCGCCTGGGAACACAACCGAAGATGGCCTTCGAACTCATGCCACCCACTGGGAGATCCAGATGAACCTCCTGGCTCCTGGCTTCAGCCCTGCTGCTTGTAACCATTGGGGGAGAGAACCAGAAAGGATGATCTCTCCCTCTCTCTCTGTAATTATGTTTTTCAAATAAATATATAAATACGTGTACCCTTTAAAAACATTGTGGAAAATTGAATTAAAAAGTAAATTTATCTTGATGTATAAAATAATTAGGTCCTTTTGCATGGACTTTCTGAGGTTCCTCATGCCTGCCCCTGTGCTTCTACGGCTCCTCTGGGTGATTCTAACGCACACATGGAATGGAGGACCACAGATGAATGATAACACAGCAAAATCCAGGAGGAAAGCTTCTAGCTATGCAGCCTCTACTGACTGCTCAGTGGATGAAGCGGGCCCTTAAATCAGCCTCAAGCCTCACCGAGAAATCTTGTAAATCCTGATTCAGTCTACAAGCAAGGAGACAGAAGGGATCAGAGAGGTTAGGTAAGTCGCTGAAGGTCACACAGCCAGGTAGAGCTAGGATCTAATCCTAGCATAGCTATCTGCCTGTAAAGAGTCATCAGGTACTATGAAAATTAAATAAAGATATGGTTTCCTGCTTTGGGCAAAGCACCAGGCAGATTGTCGAGTCGCGTGCCACAGGCAGGTAATTCAATAACAATCTTAAGGTATCTTCCTTCAGACAAAAGAGCTCCAGCATTCTGCTGAGCTGCAAGACCATCTATCGGCAGACGAAAGGAAAATGTCTCCTTACGGCGTTCCTGCAGAACATTCCAGGTAAAGGTGTGAGAGAATCCTCTCTTCACGTAGGATCCCCACCCGTCGCTAATGCACTGCCTTCCCCTATAAATCCCTCCAACCCCGACCCCTCTCCCACAGGACTCCAGACACGGCCCAGCCTGCAAGAGCGTGCACTCCTTCCAACAGTCCCTCGCCATAACCAACTCCCAGGAAAACACCCATTAGGGAAGATGACAGCGCGGCTTTTAAAACGGCACTTGAAGCTTGCAGAGAGGGGAACTCCCTGGAGAGCAGTGGCTGCTGGAGGAGGAAATGGAGTTCCCCTGGAAACAGGGCAGCGAGGGGGGCTTCAGGGGCCCCCTGATGATCTTCCAGGGCAGGAGGAGAGGGCTGGGCTAGGAGGGGCTGGGCACAGGGACTTGGCAGGACTGGAGGTAATTAACCCAGGCAAACCACAAACAACTGTGCACTTCTCGCCTTCAGCCCTGACTGCAAATGTTTTATGGCCTTCATTACTAGGACTAATAACAAAGAGAGGAAAACACTAAAAATGGAATTTTTTTCAAATCCAAGGAGCCACCAGGTCCCTGTCAGATTCAATGGACATCCCTATTAATGATGACAGGGACACAACTGAACTGATGTTTTTTTTTTTTTTTTAAAAAAGCCACTTTGTGTGTGCTTTGTTCTACACAGAATTAGAGTTTTCCAGCTGTGAGGGACTTGGCAAGATGAGGATCAGCAGGCAGCGGTGGCGATGAGGGACCATACAAAGCTGAATCCTGCTTGGGAGGGAGGCAAGGGGGCATCAACCCCTCACCACCCATCACCTAGAGTTCAGAGCCCAGGCAGCTCCCTGGGGGTCCACGCTGCAGACTCTGAGGCTGTGGGGAGGAGGGGATGGGGTGCTGTTTTCACGAGGCTCGGGGTCTGGGGCCCAGACCAGCACAGGGCATTGCAGTTAACAAACGTCCAGAGACCTGCGTACCAGATCTGCGGGGCAGGAGTGGTGGTGGTGGGGGAACCCCCTGTGAGTCGTTAGAGAAAGTGGGCACTGTGAAATGGAAATTAGCCAGGAGGAGGTTGAGTGATGAGAGAGGGGCTGGGGGGCTCCATGATCCCAGAGGCTGGGGTGGTGAGGATGGGGTGGGGAGAAACAAAAAGAGAAGGAAGCGCCCTCTGCAAGGCTGCTTCTCGCTCCTGGCAGCAGAGCCCACAGAGGATGCTCCCAAGTGTTCCCGAGACCTCTGTGGCTAAGCCCCCCGCATATCAATTAAGCAGCATTCATTACGCAGCATCCGCTCCAATGAGCCCCTCAGAAGCAAGGCGGGCTAGAGACTCCTCCAGGGATGGAATCCAGCAGTTCCCAGGGGCTCTGCTGCACAGACAAAGGCAGGGCTGAGGCAGGTGGGTTGGGACTGGGGGACCTGGGCTCAGGCGAGGCCAGGAAGAGCAGGTGCTTCCTGACCCTGGGGTGGGTAAGGGCGGGGGGGTGGCTGGTGTTGGAGGTAGGGACCCTGATGATACCTCCTGTTTCCCATGTACATTCTCACACACAAAGTCCAACGCTGCTCAGAAAAGTCCCTGCTCCCTACCCAGCCTGTTCTGCTCAGGTTGGCTGTGTAATGCTTCCCACCCCAGGAGAGTGAGCAGATTCCCACTCCTGCAGCCCTCAAGGGGGCGCAGTGCATTGCTGTGGGCTCCCCTAGAAGCCCCAGGCCAGCCTCTTCCACTTAGGTGGCCGGGGAAGGGTCATGAACATGCAGATGGCCTGGATAGGTCTGCATGTTCTGGGGAAAGGGGCTATGGTTTCCATGAGTTCGTTGAGAAGCACATCTCCAGAAAGCTAGGAACCACTGGTTCGGACTTTAAAGGCATCCACAGGGTTTCCCTTGGAAACCATCCAAATCAGGTGACTACCAGAGCCGGAGTGTGGGGCTACACCCCCAGGCTTCACACGTGGTGCCCTCCCTGTTGGGGGACGCTGCTGCTCTGTGCCCCAGTTCCTCCTCTACTCCATGGGAATAGCAATCAAACCACACCTCACAAGGTTGCTGGAGGGTTCAAGGACTGAATTCACACAAAATGCAGCCTGTCCCCTCTCACTCCAATATATCCAGGGGCCCTGGGCCAGGACTCCCCACAGATATCAAAGTCTGCAGGTGCTCAGCAAACATGGGTGGGCACCCGGCCTGGTGGTCAGGATCAAACTTGAGATGCCAGCACCCTGTGTGGGAGCACCCATCTTTGAGCTGCTGGTCTGCTCCCAAACCCTGCTTCCTGCCAATGTGGAGGAACAGGTAATAGCTCCAGTACTTGAGCCCTTCACACCCAGGATGGAGATCCTGACTCTGACTTCGACCTGGCTTGGTCTTGGCTGTGGCAGGCGTT